TTGAACAACACCACTTTTGGGTAATTGAAGAGATTCATTACTTGAATTTAAAAGTGGGGTTAGAAATAACGAAATTTTGGTGGGATAATTCGGAGCTGCATAAATTATCAGCTAGAGTAGTTCGAGAGAATGCTCTAGTAAATTATCGTAGTTGATCGAGAGATAATTGCGGTAATCCATAGCTCATAATCCTTATAGAGTATTACGGCGAGATTATAGCAAAAGAGTTAAGAATTAAACTAGCAATTGGGGAAATCAATACCCTAGATCTTTTTACCATTAGGAATTATCTTTAATTTTAGTTTTAATATCCTTTTACTTTAGTTAAACAAATCCCAATATTTATTGATAAAAATCTTGCATCAGGAAATTATTTAAGCTTGTACTAGCATCACTAAGAGTTGTAATCGATAGGTTAGTTCCCTGAGGATTCGACTCCGAACTTGTAAACCGGATTATATTTGCAACGACCGCTTTGTCTTTTATAGAGCATAGTTGGGCGTGATCAAATAACTAATGGATAACTAACAGGTTTAACTTTTACAATTGTAAAGCCTCAAATTGGGGGTTTCTCGAGTTCGGGAGACTAGGAATTCTCCCAAAAGTGATCATATTCGGGAAGTCATGGATAATATGAATATATTATCCGCCGGTCAACCCATTTTTATTCTATTAAATATGGGTCGGGTTGGATAATTTATCTTTTTTTTCATTACCCACTTTCGACCCGTCCCATATCTGACCCGACCCGCCAGTTTGCGGTCCCTATTAATAACATATCAAAAAATTAAGATCAAATAATTATAAAAGGAGTCATTTTTTAAACGGTAGGGGATTGTTACACAAATAGCCGGCAAATTCATTATTTACATTTTCTAGTCAGATACATAGATTATATATTATTTATACATAATTATATATATAGAATATATAAATTATGCATATATCATACCTCAATAAACTATTTTTAATTTATAAATATAACCGACTATTTGTATAAAAATCCGTATATAATTAGATATGTCACCTAAGTCGAGACACTAGAGATGCTACGACAACAGAGTTTTCAATGTAGTGATTGCGGCTGGCCGTTCAATTTGGTGTATCAGTACGTCGGAAGCATAAACGAGGGGCAAGCAGCTAGTCCTATTCCGTCGTTATCCCTTTGTTTTAATTGATGTGACATATTTTTTTTATTAATTTATTTTAAAAAATATATATTTTTTATATTTAAAAATAATTTAACTTTATATTTCTTATTTTATTCTTAATAAGAAATTTTATAATCACACAAATATTATAAATTCAAAACATTTATCCTGCTTTTAAGATAAAAAGTTTTAATTTTTTTTAACTACATGATGAAATAAATTATGTCACATAAATTAAAATAAAATATTTATTTACCAAAGATATATGTTTGGCCGACAGAACTTTCCACGTGATCTATTTTTATAGGCATGTGCCCTATTGTAACTTGTAAGTGATAGAACTTCCCCTTGTGGTCCTTGTCATATTGAAAGACAAATTGAATAGACAAACGTGGAAAAATGAAGATGATGTTTATTTGTAAGTGACTTGCTCTTGTTTTCTGTCCTTCTGTTGTAAATAGAGTAGACATATTAAAAAATTATTTTTAGGAATTTTACATACTTGTCTGCCATTATTTTCTTTTCTCCTTTACTGCATATTTTTATAGGCATATGCCCTATTGTAAGTGATAGACATATAGCTTCGTTTCTAGTCTGCAGGCTGCAGCTAGTCAAAGTCTATCTAGTTGCTCATTGCTCATTGCAAGCTGCGTTCTTTTGTTGGCTTGCCACCTTTTCATTATTTTCTTAGTTTCAATTTAGATGAGCTAGTTTGGATCGGCGAAGTTTAAAAACGAAAAAAAAATTTAAAACTTGTGGTCTTAAAAGGTTAAGAGGTAAAAACTTTGTAAGGTTATGACATTTGTGTTGTTAAAAAAACTTATCATTAAGCGCGAAATGGATAAAATAAAAGGTTTAAATTTGAATTATTTTCAATTGTAGAATTGTGTCATTCTTTTTAGAACGAACTAATAAGTAAAGTGTGTCTTCTAAATTGAAACAGAGAAAGTAGTATTTATTTATGAGTGAAAAGTATGAAAAGTTAAGCACTTTCAACGAATAGCAATGGTTTCTCTAGTAATGAAGAAGTAAAACGTTCCAGCTTAAACCATAAAGAAAGCTTTATTCCAAATAATCACAGTCGAACGTCATAAGAGATCAACCTAAAGTGAATTATGACAAATTTTCCATTGAAAATACTGTCTTTTCTATTCAATAAAGCATCAACATAGATTTCATATGATGGTGGCAGCGAACATAACACAATGTCAAGCCACAATTTTCATTATTAATGTCAATTCCTTCTCATACAAACCTTAATTGAAAATAGAGTCGGATCTAGGATTTTTATAACATGGATATACTATTAAGAAAGGAGGTAAAAAAGTAGTAGTAATTATTGGGAATTGATTCCTGCTCCTCTAGATGAATAACTAAGCATTCAACCATTTAGCCTCTTTGGAGCATGGATGCCAGCATATAATATTAGATCAATTTTAGAAAATATGTATATAAAATATCTAGTTTGGGGGATGAGTTCAGGGGCCCAATAAATTAGGTTTAAATCCGCCCTGATTGAAAATACAATATACTCCCTTCGTTCCCCATTTACTTGTCATGTTAGATAGTCAATTTGATTCATCTTTAAGCTAAATTAGATTAAATTATCTCGATTTTTTAAAGTTAAAATTTAGATTTTCGAAAATTATACGAGAAGTATCATAATTTTGATTCTTCTCATGTCAATATGGTAAAAATTTACATGTTAAAAAGTTCATATAATTTAACTCTCGAGGACGAAACATGACAATTAAATGGGAGCGGAGGGAGTATATCACTAGCTCACAGGCCCCTTACCTAAGAGCCTGTATAATAAAGGGAAAATGACATTGTATAGCCGCTCTCAAAATAATAGCCGAAAAATGTATTTTTTTTTTTTGTATATATAAATATTTTCTATGTTATATACAAAAATTATACAAATTTTCGGCTACCAAATGTAAATAGTTTCTAACGCGGGCTGAAAATAAAAAACACCCTATAATATATATGATGGCATCTGCCGTTATAAAGAAATAGCCGATCATATTCATTGCTTACTTTTTCTAGCCATATATATAGATTATACATTACATTGATTATACACAATTATTACATATAATTCATAAATTATGCATATATTATACGTACACCGACTATTTTTAGTTTAAGCGGTTGGGTGCGCGGCTGTTGGATTAATTCTTCTATAAAGAATAAAAAAGGGATTTTGAATCTCTAGTACTAGTACTGTTCTTCAACCCCCTTCCCCTTATCTGAACAAAATTTCAAGTTCTCTTTACCTCTCTCTTTGTAAAGATTAATCGATGAATTCACGTTTCTCGTCAACGGTGTTTAACGTAATTAATGCGTTGACATGTGATGTTGGGTGATAATTAAGGTTAATTTCATTAATAAAGACAAATAATACGAATGTCTAAATCACTTGAACTCGTGTTTCTCGATATTCATTGCTCCATGCACGCTAATGACACTAACAAGTTTGCACTTTCAACCTTACTTTACTGTCAACTCAGGGTCAGATCAACTTTGTTGGTGGGGTAAAGCCAAATCTTGATGAGGGGTCTTTTTTTAAAAAAATTGTTTATATATATTTTTTATTTAAGTCTATTTTTCCTACTATTTTGTTTATAATCGAGTTATTCTAATAATTCTTTTTTTGCTTGATAATAGCTAATCTACTTTAATCCTCTTGAGATATTGTTGATCCTAGGTAAAATTGTATTACATTAATATTTAATAAACTTCTTCCCACAAATACAACTGTTATAGGAACATTACTCTATAAGCTATATAGGTATTTGAAGAAGAATCAAGTCTTACTTTTTCAAGTCTTGTTAGCTGATTGAGTATATCGATTAGAGTATTATTTCTACTTATACTATTTCCTTTAATGCTTTTAATTTAAAAATAATCTAAACTATCTATCAGAATGACTTTTCTCAAATTCTTATCACCTAGTGATCTCAAAAATTCCCAGTAAATAAAAATTATAAATACTTTTCACACTTCAAATTATTCAAATCTCTATGGTCGACATCAGTAACAAATCAAAGTTTCCTTCTTTTTTTTTTATTAAAAATATAATTTTTTACTTCAAAAAATTCAATTTTTTTGAAAATTATCAATTCTTACAAAATACTACTAGTAAAGAATGGGGCCCCTAAACTTTGAGGGCCTAAAGCAATTGCTTGGGGTGCCTTACCCTTGAGCCGGCATTGAGTCAACTACAATAGATAAAACTCTCTAATGATATTATCATGAAAGGAGAAAAATGTTGAAGGATGCACGCATATGAATGGACAGAGAAAACACCCTCAAAGTCATTCTGAAAGCAGTAAAAAAAAATGAATTTGTCAAGGAAAAAGGGGGAAAAACAGAATGCTATGATTAAAATAAGAAGAAAAAAAAGAAGGAACGCGACGAGGACAACTTGATAACGATTTGTGCAATAAAAAGCATGTGCCTTCCTTCCACAAGATAAAGTTGAGTATCGGTGTTTATCCAATATCGGCTAATTTGGCTGTGAACAACGTCAAGATGATTAGATTTACACTTATCTCATCACTGCTTCACGACAAATATGGCTAATTCCAATCGCTTTATATGCAAGTTCATCAATGAAGAGAAATATAAAATATTAGAATTTGTCGTTAGACAGAAATATCAACACGAAAAGATAATTGCATCTGACTTTCGAAGAAGTAACAATAAAAATGATATTTATTGTCAAAATTATATTAGGCCGAAGTACTCATTCGTCATGATTTTTTTTTCCTTAAGAACGTGTTTACGTGAAATAAACCTCTGGTTAAATCCATTAAATTGAACTCTCTAATGAGACAAATCAAAGAAGAAAAAGGAAAGCTCATATAAATCGTACTCAGTAGACAGAGAGAGATAGAAAAACTATGGTCTACTAAGTTTCCAAGTTTTTGATTTGGTGGACAAGATAAGTTGTCAAGAGTAGAGGAAAGAATCATACAATATGTATTTTTGATTGGCCTCCCCCAACAGCTATAAACTAATTGGTTTACTCACAAAACAATCTAAACCGAACCCCACAAACAATAACAAGATACTGAGTACGATAACAATGCACATCGGATACAGTACTTCATTTTGATGAATGAAAGAGTGGCCTCTCTAAACTTTACTCATTCCCCAAGTTAAGTGAACCATCCTTCATTAGCTTCACACTCAGGCTATTAAATCTCCCTCTTGAGTAATGTCGAGAAGCCTTTCTCCAATCTGTCCCAGTCTTCATCATCGCTGCAAATTCATCATAGCTGATGCGGCCATCCTGCAAATATGAAAAGAGAATATATAAGAAATCATCCTACTCTATATTCATCTTTAGTTGTAGAGGATTTGTATGCTCGTCTGTTTACCTTGTCCGTATCAACTTCCTGGAATATGTCATTAGCAACATTGGTACTGTCCTCTGATCCGTCCTCCATCAATGCATCCCGAAGCTCGTCTGGTTCGATATAACCATTTTTATCCTTGTCGAAGAAGGAGAAAGCTCTGTGCAGATGTTCATCATTTGCCATCCTTTGAAGATGGAGTGAAATAGCAATAAATTCCCCATAGTCCAGAGTCCCTTTCCCGTTAGTATCAATCTGTTAGGAACATACCTGCCTTATTAATATTTGTGGCATTGTTACTTGATTTTTATCGAATTTTGTTCCTTTTCACATGTTCTATTAGGGGAAAAAGGAGAGAGCTTTTGCTTGCTTTTATATCAAGTATACTGATCATTAGCTGCATTTTAATGATATTGCCAGCAACAAATTATAAGTGGACAGCATAATAATCCATACCAGTTAATAAATATAAAACCTCAGCGCAGAAGAGGAACATTTAAACGAGCTTAGGGATCAAATCACAGTATCATACATCAAACAGACAGAATTCAAGAAATGGTCACAGACAAAACAGAGGTAGTCATCCATTGTCCTTATCGGGGGTAAAAAAGAGAAAGAGGTAGTCATCCATTACTCTAGAGATAAGTCAACTCATATTCCTTTTAGAGATGAACTCCCTAACTATAGAAAAGAAGACGGTAAAACTTCCCCAAGAAATCCAAAATCAAAAGGAAGATTGTGTGATTCTTTTCCACTTGTTTTTCTTTCTTCATCCCTCCTCTCCTAACCATTCCTTCTTTTTCCCTTTTTTACTGATAAATGAAGTCTCTCTCCCTCCTCCTCTAGTTCCAAACTTCTCATGTTGTACTCTGCTAATTGTCTATGAGAGACGACAGATATATAAATTTCTCAGCAGGATAAATCTATCCTATAACAAGGTTGGTCAAATAGATAGAAGTCTAACAGGCAACATACACATTATGGAGGAGGTTTTATAACAATATGTGAGATGATAAAGATCGCAGATACAATAAGCAAGCTCGTGTATTCATTGACCTAGGGCAAAATGGGATACTGAGACAAATGTTTTTTCAAAAAGGAACGGGCAGGTGTACTCACAGCTTCAATAAGCATCTTCACTTCAGATTCAGCCAGCTGTGAATTGACCTTGTGAAGTCCAGCTTTCAGTTCTTCAATAGAAACAATACCATCATTATCAGTATCTATCTTGCTAAACATTTCTTTGAGGTCTTCAACTTCTTCACTAGACAAGAAATCAGCAATCACCTGCATTTGACAGCGCACCTTTTAGTGTTTCTAAGAGCACGAATGTTAGTATAGTTCGAAAAATCATACGAGTAATAAACTAACCCTGAGAGCTTTTCTCTTAAACCTATTCATCAGTGCGAACTGCTTAAGTCTCGACTTGACCATATCCCCAAGAGGAACATTTGGAGCCTTCTTAGCATTTAGAAGCCAATGATGTTCTGCAAGGGAAAACGTTCATTACACAAAATACAAGAAAACCACATTCAAGCTTCAAAATGGAGGTTATTTGTTAATTTTCCAAATTCATCAAATTCAGCAGTGTCTTTATTGAAAAACTCAGCAGCCATAAAAAAAATTTCTTTTTTAGTTGTTGAATAAGATAGAACTAAGAAAGTCAAAAGTTCACCAAAACAAACAACTCAGGAAGTCCCAATTAAAGTAGTTTGCAAGACAACTATGACATTCTATTTATTTCTTTACGTTTATATTTCTCTGTGATTAAGGATCTTACTCAGTTTTAGCTACCCCCTTGTTACAAGTTTTCTGAAAGTTCACTAGTTTCCCCTCCCCCTCTTTTTCCTTCCCCATCATTCTTTGTCCGAAGTTGCACAGGAGGTTTGAGGTTTAAAGTACATCTCCTTAATTTTCTCCAACATTTAAGCCTCATTGAGGCAAAACATAATGGCGTACAAGCAAAGAGCAGAAGGTACCAAGAGCACCTCTTAAAAAATCTGGGTGAACCACATAATAGTTTAGATATGCTTTTTTATAAGTACCACATATTAGTTTAGATATCAAATTTAGATAGTCAAACCAATGTAAAAAAGGAATAGGACATTCATCACATGGTAATTAGCCTGTTTCTGCCATTGTCCGAGTTCAACGGTTGCTGAGATCTCAACCTCACTTACTGAACCCTCCCAACTGGCTTATTAGTACAAACTCAAAATGTTAGCAAGTCATCTCTTTGACCCAGGTAATACGTAAAGTCCGCGAATGTTTGCCTGAACAATCCAAAGATGTTCCCTCATTATGCTTCTTAAAAATCTGTGTCCTGTGGTGAGGCAAGGTTTTCTCAAAGATCATAGAGCACAATAAACAACATGTAAGCCCAACTTACCAAGTACTTCTTTTGCAGTCAGTCGTAGCTTTGGATCTGGCTCCAGCATCTGCCGTACAAGATTCTTAGCACTGTCTGAAACACTTGGCCAGGGCTCACGCTTGAAATCTATTGCCCCGCGTAAGATGGCCTGGGCAACTCCTTGTTCAGATTCTGCAACAGAAGAGTCCCTTTAATCAAATGAGAGAAAGCAAGTGAGAGTATACAGATGAATTGGAAAAGGGGAAGGATTACTTTTTTGAGAAGAAAAGGGGAAGGAATAATCAAATATTGGAAGTGCATTTACCGGCCCAAAATGGAGGAACCCCACATAACAAAATATATAAAATGACTCCTGCACTCCATATATCTATTTCTGGTCCATAGTTCCGCTTGAGCACTTCTGGAGCCATATAATAAGGACTTCCTACTATTTCAGAAAACTTCTCACCTAGAACCAAAGAACTTTCAAGATTAAACATGATTTAAGTGCTATAAAAAAAACAACTTACCCAAATTAACAGATGAGAAATGCTTACACTAGTCATAGATTTGGTAGAAAAACAACTCGACTATAGGACCAAACAATTGGTGCAACCACAAAAGTCATTTTGATAACAGAGAAAGAGAATCAACGTAAGTGTCCACTCCACATAAAAGTTAGCTTAGCTATAGGAGGAAATTAAGAGAATATGTCAAAGGATGTTTCACGCAAAAAGACACTAAATTCCTTGAACAAATCTTAAAGGCCTGAACAACGCTTCAGAAGTAATTGGAAAGATTTCTATTACAAAGTCACGGCCTTCTGTATTTGGGAGAGAAAATGTGAAAAACTTTATCCTAGAATTTAGCTAGTAGTCTAGACTCTTGCTTCCCCAATATTAAGCATAAATAGGAAAAAAAGAGGATGTTATAAAGATAACCAAAAAAAGATACTATTCAAGTGACGAGAAAGAACTACTATGTTACTGTTTGCAAACTGAAGTCTTGCACGCAAAGCCCAAAATAAAAAAACTCTTGAGCTTTCACATACTTCTACACCCGCCCCCCAAAACCAAGAGATGGTTCCTACATTAATTTGGCCATCAATAGTTGTCAGCAGTCCCACATCAGCAATAAAAAGAGTATTTGATCTCCTTATATGGTCTAGGGTAGTTCTCACCTCATGAGCTAACTTTTTGGGTTGACTTAGGTCTAAAGTCAATTTCTTATAACCGTATTAGAGCCATACCCATCCCAATTCTTGATTTACGCGATGTTGGGTCCCCATGCTATATTTCCCATGCTCCAGATGTCCGGTATTGGGCCGGGGGTGTCATAAGTCCCACATCGGCTATGGATGGGGGTCTTCATATATGGTCTTTGGCAATCCTCAGCTCATAAGCTAACTTTTGGAGTTGGTTTAGGCTCAAGGTCCATATCTTATCAATAGTTGCATGTATTCCATGTTGTCTATAATGCATAGGGAACACAATATGGCAACTCATGCAATCAGCAAACATTCAAGCATAGGTCTCACGATATGGTAAATCAAGTCATCACCAATTGCGCAATGCTGTTTAATAGGCCATTCACTATCCAAAATCAGAGAACAGAAATACAGGATAGAGAACAATGATATCTTTCTATTCTTAAATTTTACAAATTTTCGCCCCATCACATAAAACTGTAGTTCAATACATTGGATAAGGCTGCTTCAGAATAACCAAGCATCAGAAGTATGCCATAATTCAAATGAAGGTGCATCTATAAAGTGCACTCTCAACCTGATCATTTCTTAAATCAGTGATGCAAACATACATTAAAGTAAGCCATAGACATCAATAACTTCTTCGTATCATTAAGAGCTTCTAGCAGTAAGATGCAAGCAGACAAGAGTTTCCCAATCCTGCACAAAGACAAACAGTATTTCTACAACGTTTTGACTTTTGGTTAAATATATACTCTCTCCGTCCCAATTTATGTGGCACCATTTCACTTGGCACGGAGTTTAATAAAAAATGAAAACTTTTGAAACTTGTGGTCTAAAACAAGCCTTAGATATTTGTGTGGCTATAAATCATCTCATCAAGGGTACAATGGAAACTTTTAAGTTAAATTGTTCTAAATATTTTAAGATGACATTCTTTTTGGGACAAACTAAAAAGAAAGGAGTGCCACATAAATTGGGACGGAGGGAATAGTAGTTTAGGCTTTTATAATAACTTTTGGAGGCACTAGGCAGAATAAGCTTCAACCGTCATCATATATGATGGTATTAACAATAAATAGCCAGAGGAACTACAAGTTGATAGAAGGGACCAGACAGGTACAAGTTGGCATGAGTCTCATTCTTTTACATGGCCTTTAGCATCAAGCAGGCAATCAATGAAAAAGCATTCTGCATTGAAACTTAGCTGATATGCAATTCTTCAATGTAGCCTATATCAAGCACTTCTCACAAGTTGGAGACCAAGAAACTTGCTATGAAAGTATTTTCTAAACATTTTGCAACTAGCACAATCCTATCAACACAAACTGAATAAGAGAAATCACAGTAAGCTCCAAATTCCAATGCATAAATTTGAAATGTCAAAGGCAAGCCCAATGCATCATATCACAGCAAGCCCAGTTCGTCCAACATAATACAATCAATCTTAGGCCTCAAAAGAGCCTCATTACAATTGAAAGAAGCACAACCCTCTAACTTCATGATAAACAGTTAGGCCAACCATTAGGCTTTCATTTGTTTGTTACAAGTATCCCCTTTCATAACTAATCCAATTCCCGTCATAGCACACTATATCTCCATTCAACCATAGATTTCCATCAGACAAACATCACTTTAGCATTTTCCGCTGCTAAGCTGTTTGCTGGTTAGCTAGTTCAACACTAGAGGACAAAAAAAAGGGAGAAAGTTTTTGTTCACAGCATCAACTTATCAAAAGACATTAAATTAATACAGGTTCATCATAGACTTTTAGTACAAGTTTATCGTGGATTGTTACACTAGGCTCGGTTCATTGTTGATGTCAATATGTTACCAATGGTCAACCAAGTTACATAGAACTATCTGTGCTTACTGTTGAAGACATAATTAAGTAATTAAAGTTGTGATGTCTAACCACCATTCATTAGCAAAAAGAATTTTCACGTGCTTGACTCATGAAAAACAATCAGGCCTGCATGTGAGGAGGTAAGTTAAAGACATAATTAAGTAATCAAAGTGTGCAATCTTTAACAGTTTAAGATTTTAGATGAAATGGTCACGCGTTTCAACGCTTACAAGAAAAAAGGACACAATTGCGGGGCACTAACAGCTGAACTCATCTGCACTTTAGCATGTAGCACTCAATACTTGATAGACAACCTTATTACCATTTCCATGCAAAATTGTATCAATTGTCTGCTATGATTTCAGTTTCTTAATTTCACCTATTCAATTAACCATGAGCCTTTTAGTTAGCACAAAAGTCATCAAAAACTGAGAACACACCAAACGATGAACATCATACAACACAGCTTCTAACTAATGCAGCCAAAATTGCTAGTCGCGAGCGTGCTACTGCAATAACATTTTAGTCAAACTAACCAACATTCCTTTTTTATTTTCATTAAACCAACCCATCACTCAAAGTAATGTATTACCTCTTCTATCCTCACTTTGAAAAAGCAACATCTCATAAAAAGCATCAAGAAGGAATTGAACCCTAAGAGTTCTTCTTCTCACCACACATTAGATTAAAAAATCACCACTTTCTAGGTCTGATTAATTGACATAACATAAAAAATCCTGAGCAAAAACTTCACTCAATTACCAAACAACAGGTATAACAATTCAAACAACACATTTTCCTAACTGCGCTCCAATTAAAAGCTTCCTGCTTACCAGGCTTGTAGAAAATCGATAATCCAAAATCAATAGCTTTCAAAGGTGAATTCTCCTTTTTATTAGCATACAAAAAGTTCTCAGGCTTCAAGTCTCTGTGGATCACCCCATGCTTATGGCAGAGCTGCACAACCTCCACAATCGTTCGCGTGACAGCAGCAGCGGCTCGCTCCGTGTAATGCCCCCGAGCCACGATCCTATCAAACAGCTCCCCACCCTCACACAACTCCATAACCAAATGCACTGCATTCTCATCCTCACACGCCTCCTTTAACCTCACAATACTCGAATCCCTAGGCAAATGCTTCATAATCGCCACTTCTCGCCTTACATCCTCGACATCCACAGCCGTCCTCAGCTTCCGCTTCGAAATCGACTTGCAAGCCAATTCGTCCCTATTGCTACGATCGATGCAAAGGTAAGTCACTCCAAATTCACCCCTGCCTAATTCTCTATCAATTATATACCTCTCCTCGATATTCTCCTTCTTTATATCAGTTAACACAGTGATCTGCTTCTGTTTCTGCTTGTTGCCGGACTTCTCTTTCCGGCCGTGATCGTTGCCGGAGTAGTTAGATGACTTTACATCTTCTCTAGCTACAGCTGCCGGAGATCTACAGCAGTTCCCCATTTGCAATCAAATTTAACCTTTTTCAAGCTAGGGTTTCACATAATTTAAGTGTAAAACCCAAACCCTATGAGCTCAAAGCAAGTACAGTAGTAGCCAGTGCTCGATCCATGATTCATAAATTTTTTGTATATATAAGTTAAATCTGTACTGATATTTTTGAAGCTATAAATTGTGGCAAATCCACAGAAACTCCTTAAAATCTGTCACTGAGAGTAGAAAATGTGAATGGTGGAGTGATTTCTGGGGATAGAAAATTATGGTGGGGTGCTGTACGGTAACGGTTCAGAAACTTTTGTAATGTGAAAGCTGATTCAATTTTCTAATAAAATGAAAATGCAACTGACAGACACCATATATATGGATTTAATTAATGGTGAAAATAATGTATTGGATGGAGTATGTATATCTTGTTAGGTGTGATTTTTGTCGGCTTACTGAACATTCGGAACGGGACGGAGAGGGAGCAGAAGAAGCAATAAGGGGGTTTTGGGTTTTGTGTTGTTTCTATTTTCTTCTCCTATTTTTATGTGATAACCACTATTGGAAAATTTTGCATTATATCTTACATGGATCATACTACTGTCCAATTCAATTCAGTTTATACGGCCTGATTTGATAAGATACTGGTTTGAAAGAAAATTGTCATTTAAATATGTTAGGAGTAATATTTGTGTGATTATAAAACATTTGAAACTTGTAAAATTTAATATGTCAAAACTTGTAAAATGCAGCACTAAGAATAAAATGAGAAATTTAAGTTTAATAATTTTTAATTAGAATTATACCATCTTCTTAGAGGATTGATAAAAAATGACGATTTACGGTCCAGTTTAATTGATCTTTTAATTTTTTTATGGCCCACAATATTTGAATTTTTTATATATCAAGAAGTACTTAACTTTCTTTTTCCAAAATTGTCCTTTGAGTGAAGAGTCTTGGAGTATCTATTATATTTTCAATAAACAAATTAAGGTTAATAAGGTAACTTTTATTGTTAATTAATACTAAAAGATAGATTTTTTAATATGCGTAAAAACAACCAAAATAATTATTAAAGTGGACAGGTGTCACGACCCCAGTTCGCCCTCCGTGAACTATCGTGACGGCACCTAGTCTCTACGACTAGGTAAGCTTAACAATGCGGAAAAACCACAAATCTTGCAGAATAAATAATCAAAAGCCAAATAACTGAAAGAAATAGTATTTAAATGCTACTTGGCATATACACACAACTTTCCAAAGTCTGATACACCAACCCAAAATCCGGAAACTCACGGATCCACAAGCTGAGAAAAACACTACATAGCTCTAATCTCTGGAATGTCTAATCAAGAACATAAAGTACAGAAGGGCTAAACACTAAATGCAAGAATAGAAAGAGACTCCTCGGTCTGCGGACGCGGCAAATATACCTCGAAGTCCCGTAGAATCGCCTCGCCTCCAGAATGGTAAGCCTGAGTAGAGGTACCTGGATTTGCACATGAAAAACATGCGCAGGAAGGGCATGAGTACACCACAGCGGTACTCAGTAAGTGTCAAGCCTAACCTCGGTTGGGTAGTGACGAGGAAGGTCGGGGCCCTACTGAGGTTAAATAAGATATAAGGTTTAACAGTGTAAATAAATAACAAAAGATATAAAGGACAGCAACAACTATCACAGAGGCAAGTAAAAAAATGCAGTAAGAGAACACAGCTCAGCTCCAAGATAACAACCGGGGATCTCCCAGGATACCGTTCTGTAGTCCCCAAATGTAAATATCATATCCAGTGGATCTCCCGGGTGCAGTCCCGTAGTCCAACTCATAAATGTGCAGGGGGATCTCCCGGAATGCAATTCCGTAGTCCCAAAGTAAAATACATGGGAGCTCCCGGGATACCGTCCCGTAGTCCCAAAGTAAAAGTGCAGGGGGATCTCCCGGAATACCGTTCTGTAGTCCCAAAGTAAATACGCAGCAACAGCAAGAATTCAATCCAATCAAATTTCATATCAAAGTGAAGCAGGTAATCCTAACTTAGCATGGTTCACGTAATACAATTAAGGCAGTTAAGGCAAATAGAGCAATTTAGTCAAGTAGACATGCTTCTCTAGGCTACATCAGGTTTAATTTCCAAACAGTGTAAGTAAGAAAGGAAGAAACACAGTTCAAGGCTATTTTTAATGAAAAACCGGATTTCCAACAATTAGCACAAGTACGTGCTCGTCACCTCACGTACGAGGCATTTCAATTACCACAATCTCAATCCTAAGGGGAAAGGTCCCCCACACAAGGTTAGACAAGCCACTTACTTCGAACAAGTGCAAGTCAACCCGAAACCACGCCTTTTCCACGAGTATCCGACTCCAAATAGCCCAAATCTATTCAATTAAGTTTCATAATGTAAATAACACTTCAAGTAACTGATTCTATAATTAAATTCTAAGCTAATACGCGAAATTAGGTAAAATAACCAAAATGCCCCTTAGGCACACATATCGAAATCGGGTAAAATTTACATTTTTGAAATCCTCATACTCTCACGAGTTCATACATACCAAGAACACCAAAATCGGAGCCCAAATGGCCCCTCAAATTCTCATTTCAAAGTCTCTTAATCCCAAGCCCTAAATCCCACAATTACTACTGGTTTTTCCCTAAATTTCTAGCTCTAATCCAAGAAATAATGACATAGGAACGAGTTTTAAGCCCAAATTACTTACCTCAATGGAGTTCCCTTGAAACCCCTCCTTCAAATCGCCCAAAAAGCTCCAAAGTCGAGATAAAAATGGTGGAAATAACCCCAAGGTCGCTGTCACGACCCTAGTTCACCCACCGTGAACATGTCGTGATGGCGCCTAGTCTCTACGACTAGGTAAGCCTAAAAATGCGGAAAAGTAAAATAACTTGCGGAAAATAATAATTCAAACACTGAACCGCTAGAAGAAAATGGTTATAGATGCCGCTTGGCATATACAACTCAATAACGCGGAAGTCTACAATATCATCCCAAAACCCGAAAACTCACGGGAACACAAGCTAACAGATTATAGTACACTGCTCTAACTCCAGAATGTCTAAAACAACAGTAAGAAAGGAAGGCTAACTGCTAAAGCTAGAATAAGATAGAGACTCCTTGGTCTGCGGACGCGGCAGATGTACCTCGAAGTCTCTGCTAGATCTCTCCGCCTCGAGGGTGATACGCCTGGGTGGAGGTACCTGGATCTGCACATGAAAAATATGCGCAGAAAGGGCATGAGTACACCACAGCGGTACTCAGTAAGTGCCAAGCCTAACTTCGGTTGGGTAGTGACGAGGAAGGTCAGGGCACTACTGAGGTTAAATAAGATACAGGTTAACAGTGTAAAATGACAGTGTAATTAAATAACACATGATATAAATGACAAAACCAACTATTACAAAGACAAACAAAAACACAGTAAAAGAACATAACTCAACACCGAGATAACAACCGGGGATCTCCCAGGATACCGTCCTGTAGTCCCGAAATATAAATATCACGTCCAGTGGATCTCCCAGGTGCAGTTCCGTAGTCCAACTCATAAAGTGCAGGGAGATCTCCCGGAATGCAATTCCGTAGTCCCAAAGTAAACATACAGGGGAGCTCCCGGGATACCGTCCCGTAGTCCCAAAGTAAATATACAGCAGCAACAAAATTCAACCCAATCAATTTCATATCAAAGTGAAGCAGGTAATCCTAACCTAGCATGGTTCACATAGTACAATTAAGGCAGTTAAGACAAATAAAACAATTTAGTCAAGTAGACATGCTTTTCTAGCTACACCAGGTTGAAATATCCAAACAGTGTAAGCAAGGAAAGGGGGAACACAATTCAAGGCTATTTTTAAGAAAAAACCGGATTTCCAACAATTAGCACAAGTGCGCGCTCGTCACCTCACGCACGAGGCATTTCAATTACCACAAAATCAATCCTAAGGGGAAAAGTCCTCCACACAAGGTTAGACAAGCCACTTACCTCAAACCGGCTCCAAAATCAACTCGAAACCACACGTTTGCCACGAGTATCCGACTCCAAATGGCCCAAATCTATTCAATTCAATTACATATCGTAAATAACATCTCAAGCAACTGATTCTACTATTTAATTCAAAGCTAAGACACGAAATTAGGTAAAATGACCAAAACGCCCCTCAGGCCAACATCTCAGAATCGGATGAAAGTAACATTTTCAGAACCCTCATACTCTCACGAGTCTAACCATATAAAAATCTCTCAAATCAGAGGTCAAACACCCACTCAAAACTCAATAATTCGGTCTATGAAGTTTTACCCATTTTCCATTCAAAAATCCGAAATTAGAAGAGGAATTCGTAATTAGATTAGTGGGTTATAAGCAAAAAAGAGTTTAGAATCATTACCCAATCGTTGGCCCTGAAAATCCCTCGAAATCTCTCTCAACTCCGAGCTCCCAAGCTTGAGTTTTGGTAAAAATGGCTAAACCCTCGTTTGGAAATGTTTATATCTGCCCAGACATTTAATGCATCGCGAATGCGGGGGGAGTCACGCGTTTGCTTAGAAGGAAAAATGAAGGCTGTAAAATTGCCCTTCGCGAACGCGTGGAATGGTACGCGAACGCGAAGGCCTGGGCTGGCAAAGCCACGCGAACGCGACACGGGGATGCGAACGCGATGAATAAAAATAAGCATATCCCTCAGAGCCAAATAGAACTACGCGAACGCGAGGGCTGGCTGCGAACGCGAATGAGGAAAATGATTAAGCTTCACGAACGCGGGTGGGTGAACGCAAACGCGTAGAAGAAACTGGCCCTCCTCCAAAATTACTCTACGCGAACGCGTGGAGGAGGACGCGATCGCGAAGAAGAAAAGGGGCCTGCATCAGCTGATGGTTTTTCTGCAATTTTCCACAACTCCAAAATGCCCCGTTGAGTATCCGAAACACACCTGAGGCCCCCGGGACCTCAACCAAACCTACGGACATATCCCATAACATGATTCAAACTTGTACCAATCCTTAAACCACCTAAAACAACGTTGGAAACTCGAATTAATCAAGGATTTAAGCCTAAGAACTTCAATTTCTCTCAAAATACGCTTTCGATCAAAAACCTAGCCAAATCACGTCCGAATGACCTGAAATTTTGCACACACATCCCAAATGACATGACGGAGCTACCGCAACTTCCGGAATTCCATTCTGACCCTCGGATCAAAATCTCACTATCGGACCGGAAACTTCAAAATTCCAACTTTCGGCAATTCAAGCCTAAATTAGCTACGAATCTCCAAAACACATTCCGAACACGCTCCCAACCCCGAAATCACCTAATGAAGCTAACAGAACCATCAGATTTCCGCTCCGAGGCCGTTTTCACACTGTTCTGACTATGGACCATTTTCCAACACTTAAGCTCTCATTTAGGGACTAAGTGTCCCAAAACTCTCCGAAACTCAAAACCGAACATCCCGGCAAATCAAAATAGCAGAGATAAACTTGGGGAAAGCATTAAATAGGGGATCGGGGCGTAAATTCCAAAAACGACCGGCCGGGTCGTTACATCCT